AAGGAAGAGCTGGGAATAAGGCAGTGGAGAGGACATCTTCCTTCTTGGTACAACTCCCTTCTGTGGCCCTTGCTTACATACAGTAACCCATTAAAACGGAATATACATTTCTTAAGAAGCATCACTAGAATGAACACCATCTGTCCTGGATGGATCAACTCAGCCTCATCTCTCAAGATGCTAAAGTAATACTGACCTATGTAACTGCTCTTGCCAAGGAAGTTGAATAAACTGTCAGGGATCTAACATTTAATCGATATGAAATGCAAGAGTGCCTCCTTAAGTATTTAGTCCACCTTACTAGGCCAAAGTACAATCCACTGTGCACAAACTCACTCTACTTCCCTCAGATTGACTCCTTCATTAAAAATCCATGTTCCATTTGTGGTAATTCTAATCATACAAAGAATGAGAACCAAAGTTTATTTAAAATTAATTCAACTTCAGCAGGCAAATTCCAGACTCCTGGGTAAAGTCACTGAAAAGATAAATTGCTTTAACTATGTTTTTAAAAAGCCTTAATGTAAACAGAAGAAGTCTGGATGTAAGACTTGCTCACAGCGCATGTAAGACGTTTCATCAATGTCCTGGTTTCGGCTGGGATAGAGTTAATTTTCTTCCTAGTAGCAGGCACAGTGCTGTGTTTTGGATTTAGCAGGAGAAGAATGTTGATAACACGCTGATGGTTTAGTTGTTGCTCAGTACTGCTTATGCCAGTCAAGGACTTTCCAGCTTCCCATGCTCTGCCAGGGGCACAAGGAGCTGGGAGGGGGCACAGCCAGGAGAGTTGATCCCAACTGCCCCAAGGGCTGTTCCATACCATACGGCGTCATGGGCAGTATGGAAACTGGGGGGGTTGGCCGGGGAGCAGCGATCGCTGCTGGGAACTGGCTGGGCATCGGTCGGCGGGTGGGGAGCAATTGCACTGTGCATCACTTGCTTTGTGTATTGTTATTATTATTATCATTATTATATTGTTGTTATTATCATTACTGTTTTACTTTATTTCAATTATTAACCTGTTCTTATGTCACCCCAGGAGTGCTTCTCACTCCTCCGATTCTCTCCCCCATCCCATCGGGGTAGGGGGAGTGAGCGAGCGGCTGCGTGGTGCTGAGCTGCTGCCTGGGGCTGAACCACGACAATCAGTATGCGTAAAGTTTGTCCAAAGCTAGGTAATGGTGGACTCTGAATCTCTGCAGATGTTTAGTAGAATAAACTACTGAGTTCCAAAGTTCAGATTATGTGAGAAAAGTCTGATTCTGATTTCTTTAGTACCAAATTAATTTCAGCATATTCTCCTGTAAATTGTATGTATTTAATACGGCAGCACAGATAACTAACAGAATGAAGCAAGTCTTCCGTAAGTATACAAGTAATTTAGAAGTTGATTATAGGTTAATGCCCTAATCTGTACGTTAAGACTTTACAGACCTTGCCCAACAATATAAAAAGATGATTCTAAACACCCCACACCAAAACAAAACCAGAGTACAGTCTACATGAACACATTTTAATGACAGCTGCAATTCACTCTTCTCCACAGGTGATGAGGTTCGTTCTTCTACCAAATGAAGCTTCCATTATTGACAATCAGATAGCCTAGACAAGGGTACAAAACTGCTTCCTCTTACACAGGAGTTTCTTCCTCGGTTAATAGATTACTCTAGCTACAACAGATTTTTTTTTTTTTTTTGGGTGGTGTTAAAGACTTTTTGGACCAAGATAGCCTTGCATTTTGAAGTTCAAGGCATCCAAGGACAAAAAAAACCCCTTCTCCTTTGAAGGACCAACACCAGACACTCTGTCCTTGAACGCGAGCCATATGAACTGCAAGCGCCTAGTGCTTGCTGCCTAACAGATCCCAGGGCAGGATTCAGAATCAAGAAGCAATGCTAACACACTCCCACATTTTTCCAATATGGACCAGGAGCACATTGCTGGTACAGGAACAGTCAATGCCTCCTGAAAGGTGTTGGAGTCCTTATTTTAGAAGACAGGCATAATCAGCCTGAATGCCTTGCACTGCCTCTAACTAAAAGATTACTTCCCCGCATTTCTTACATAGTCAATGGTAAAAGATGGCCTCTACAAAGCTCTCCAGCTTAACACATGTTCTAACATACACTCAGGAGGAGCCTCTCCCACTGTACAAAGAAGCTCACAGAAGCTAGGCACCCGAGTAATGCGTTTGAGACTAATGCTCCTTGGCACTTGGGCAAAAAAAATCTCAGCAACAACTTTATAGTAACCATACAGACTGCAGCCATAAGCTTAACTGAAACCCTCCATATTTTAAACATGATAGGTAACAACAGGAATACTGAGATCAAACTCATAATTGCCTCTAACATTAATATTTCAACGTAATTTCTTAAAGAAGTCAAAACTAAAGCAGCAATCCCGCCTATTAAAATGCAGTCTGTTTTAAAGCCTGAACTACAGTAATGCAACAGAAAGTTCCTATTGCTTCCAAAATGAAAGCCGACTCGAGCGTTTTTGCTAGAGTTCTACTGTATGCTGGCACCAGTAGCCAGGTTCTGCTGTGACATTATTCACGGGGGTTTGAGCACTCAGACAGGACTTATTTCCTATTTTAATACGAGAAGACAGTCGGCAAGAAGTTCAGAATGTTTATGACTTTACTCGTTCAGGGTGAGAGGAATATTAGTAAGATGGCAGTGCACTATGGTTTGAAAGCTTCTTTTAGAGGAGGGGAAACACGAGTAAATGCCTAGCTTCCATTTCCTTTACATAAAGTAGCATCAGCAATGCAGTGGTGTCACCTACCTTTTTAAACGTTTTCAGAGTCTTGCACGAAAAAAAGCACTT